AGAGATAGAGAGAGAGAGGTCTTCCATCTGCTGACTCACTCTCCGATTGCCCACAACAGCTGCAACTGTGCTGATCTGAAGCCAGGAGCCCCAACCTTCATCCAATTCTCTCATACAGATGGTAGGGGCCCAAGCACTTGGGCCATCTTCTACTGCTTTCCCAGGCCGTAGTAGAGAGATAGATTGGAAGAGGAGTAGCCGGGACTCAAGGCAGGATCTATGTGGAATGTCAGCACCCGCTACGCCACAGCGCTGGAAACGTTGATAGGATTTGGATTAAGACTGTGTTGGTCTATCAAATGAAGAAATACAGATATCTTGGCTAGATTAAGTCTTCCAATCCATAACCATAGAATTTGTCTCCAAATGTTTAGTTCTTCCTTGAGATATTTTTTAGGAGCTTTGTGGTGATCCTCATGGAGATTTTACATATTTTGTTGGAAGTATACCTAGATGTTTCATTTGTTTTGCTACAGAACATTTTTTTTAATTTCCATGCATAGTTTTCTCATTAGATTCATTTTCCAAGAGCCCTCATATGTTAGTGTCGTACTTTTCTTATGTGCTGCTCTACACATCTCTAGTTCTGACTTGGTCTTGCTCATGCACTTGCTGATCTTTTTCTCCACACACACACCCACACACACCCACACATCCTCTTTCCTTCCTCTAGATTCACCATGGTGCCTCCCTGCATTGTAAGTAAAACAAAACAAAACAAATGTGTCCTAGAAGGCTCTGGTATGCTTCCTAGGACACTACCCCAGTACAAAGGAGAAGTGTCTCATTACTGCAATGAGTGGCTAGCTTTGGGGTGAACACACAGGAGTTCCATATGGCCTCCACTGACAACAAGCCAGGTCTCTCTAAAGACAAGTGAAGATGAAAAATCTAAGTTCCCTATTGGGCCTTGACACCATCCCAAGGAGGGTGCTGCTGTTCGTTTCTGAATCAAGAAGCTGGAAGTGTAGCTCCACACTTGGCCTTGTCTGGTGTGATAGGACTAACTGGGGTCTTTATGTGCAATCCAATGATTGCTGATTAAGTGATTTCTGTCTTGCTTGGCTGTGCTTTTCTTGATTCTTTGACAAGAGAAAGCAGGCTTTGGTTATGGCTTATTTTGTCTACACTTGTTGGGACTTCTGAAATGCTGGCTTCTTGAGGTCTCAGTCTGAAATATGTAAGAACAAAGGAAAGCCAGGAAATTCACCATTGTGTTATTTCTTGGGTGCTAAAGTCCCTAGTTGGTCTGCCTTCATTTCTATACCTTTCAGTATTCTTATCCTTGTTTTCTAAATAATAGCCAATTTTTTCAGTAATCATTAGTGGGAGTAATGAAGAAAGAAATACCTATTCCACATTCCAGAATCAGGAGCTCTAAAAAGATATTTTTTTAAAAAACATATACTACTTGATTACTTACTGAGGAGTTGACTCTACTTTTGCTTGGGTAGGAGAAAATATGCATGCTATAGCTTCAGATACAAGTTATGGTATCTCCCCAGCATGCAGTCCATCAGAGGAACTGGCCTTTAAGAGACTGCTCACTCTAGTGACAAAGTTAGATGGTTCCATTTCAGTGTTAGCAAAGCTGACTTTAAAAAAATCTTATATCACTCAGCATATGACATTTGTCCCTTTGGGACTGGCTTAATTCACTCAGCATAATGTTTTCCAGATTCCTCCATCTTGTTGCAAATGACCGGGTTTCGTTGTTTTTGACTGCTGTATAGTATTCTATAGAGTACATGTCCCATAATTTCTTTATCTAGTCTACTGTTGATGGGCATTTGGGTTGGTTCCAGGTCTTAGCTATTGTGAATTGAGCTGCAATAAACATTAATGTGCAGACAGCTTGTTTGTTTGCCAATTTCATTTCCTTTGAGTAAATTCCAAGGAGTGGGATGGCTGGGTTGAATGGTAGGGTTATATTCAGGTTTCTGAGGAATCTCCAGACTGACTTCCGTAGTGGCTTAACCAATGTACATTCCTACCAACATTGGGTTAGTGTCCCTTTTTCCCCACATCCTCGCCAGCATCTATTGTTGGTAGATTTCTGAATGTGAGCCATTCTAACTGGGGTAGGTGAAACCTCATTGTGGTTTTGATTTGCATTTCCCTGATTGCTAGTGATCTTGAACATTTTTTCATGTGTCTGTTGGCCATTTGGATTTCCTCTTTTGAAAAATGTCTATTGAGGTCCTTGGCCCATCTCTTAAGTGGGTTGTTTTTTTTTTAACTTTTATTTAATGAATATAAATTTCCAAAGTACGATTTATGGATTACAATGGCTTCCCCCCCATACCGTCCCTCCCACCCACAACCCTCCCCTTTCCTACTCCCTCTCCCCTTCCATTCATGGATGTTTGTTTTGTTTTTGTGGAGTTTCTTGATCTCTTTGTAGAATCTGGTTTTAACCCTTTATCTGTTGCATAGTTTACAAATATATTTTCCCATTCTGTCGGTTGTCTCTTCACTTTCCTGACTGTTTCTTTTGCAGTACAGAAACTTCTCAATTTGATGCAATCCCAAATGTTAATTTTGGCTTTGACTGTCTGTGCTTCTGGGGTATTTTCTAGGAAGTCTTTGCCAGTACCTATATCTTGCAGAGTTTCTCCAATGCTCTCTAATAACATTACACTGAGTGAATTAAGCCAGACCCAAAGGGACAAATATCATATGTTCTCCCTGATCGGCGACAACTAACTGAGCACCAAAGGGGAAACCTGTTGAAGTGAAATGGACACTATGAGAAACAGTGACTTGATCAGCTCTTGTCCTGACTGTTGATGTACAATGTAATACTTTATCCTTTTCAGTATTTTCTCTTTGTTTTGTTCTAGTACTATTGGTTGAACTCTGTATTAACACACAATTATTCTTAGGTGTTTAAATTTTAACTGAAAAGTGATCCTTGCTAAACATAAGAGTGGGAATAATAGAGAGATGTACAATTTGGGACATGCTCAATCGGACTTGCCCCAAATGGTGGAGTTAGAATCATGCCAGGGTATCCCCATACAATCCCATCAAGGTGGCATGTACCAATGCCATCTCACTAGTCCAAGTAATCAATTTCAGTTCACAATTGATCATAATGATAGGCCTAAGAGTCAAAGGGATCACACCAACAAGACTAGTGTCTGCTAATACTAGCTGATAGAATCAAAAAGGGAGAGAACGATCCATCATGGGAAGCGGGATACACAGTAGACTCATAGAATGGCAGATGTCCTAAATAGCACTCTGGCTTCAGAATCAGCCCTTAAGGCATTTGGATATGGCTGAAGAGCCCATGAGAGTATTTTAGGCATGGAAAGCCAAGACACCCGGGGTGGGGGGAGAAGAAGAAGAACAAGGCCTCAATGGAAGATCTCTGAGTGAGATCCCAGTGGGAAGAATGGGGCCATCAAAAAAGGAGGAGGTACCTTTCTCTGAAGGGAGGAGAGAACTTCCACTTTGACTATGACCCTGTCTGAATAAGATCGAAGTCGGCAAACTCAAAAGGCTTCCATAGCCTTGGCAACTCATGATTAGAGCCTAGGGAGATTACTGACGCCATAAACAAGAGTGTCAAATTGTTAAGTCAACAACAGGAGTCACTGTGTACTTACTTCTCATGTGGGATCTGTCCTTAATGTGTTGTCCAATGTGAAGTAATGCTCTAACTAGTACTGAAACAGTATTTTACACTTTGTGTTTCCGTGTGGGTGCAAACTGATGAAATCTTTACTTAATATATACTAAATTGATCTTCTGTATATAAAGATAATTGAAAATGAATCTTGTTGTGAATGGAATGGGAGAGGGAGCGGGAGATGGGAGGGATGTGAGTGGGAGGGAAATTATGGGGGGGAAGTCATTGTAATCCATTAACTGTACTTTTAAAATTTATATTTACTAAATAAAAAATATAAAAAAAAACTTTTATCAGTGATTCATGAACCTTCATTTTAACTTTCCAACCTCCCCACAAATGCTCCCAGGGTTGACTTGAGATGAGGTGGCTTAGTGGCTCTTGTCCCTACAGTGAATACCTAGGCTGTGACAGTCTCCTGCATCAACCTACCTGCCCCACCACCACCACACACACACCTCTGAACAACCCTTCCTCTCTGAGGACTGTACACATCTCTCCTATAATGTTCTCATTTTCTAAAAGAACACATTGGAGCATTTTGATCTTAGTTCCTTCATGAACTCGCTTCCATGATACCTGACATTTTCACAGGAAACTGGTCCCAGTCTCCAGGGAAAAGAAAGCTTGTTTGGTAGGAGACTGCAATGACCTTGCTGTCTCCTTCTCCATTCCCTTAACTCATTGCTTCTGATGTTTCAAACTCCAGTGAATTATGAGTCAGCCACAGTTACATACATATTAACTTGGGTAACCCTACAGCAGAAATAGCACCAAAATGAGTTACTAATTCTGGTGAGTCGATAAGTAGAAAGAAAGGTAGGGAGTGGAGTGGGTGAATGTGAGGGCAGATGCTTAAATGGAAGACTGTGGCTGCAGGTGACTCTCAGAGAATTCTAGAAAGGTGACCTGATGAACAGAGAAATTGCTTCAATTTATGTTAGAGGACATTTCATTTCTAAACCAACATGCTTGCACAAAGTGACTTTCCATCTTGACATGAGCACAGACAATATTTGGAAAGGCAAATTTCAGGGGAATGTGATTTAATTGTTCATCAGATTAGGCCAGCCTCCAAAATGTCATTTGCTGCTCTCTTCTGCCAACTGGACCTAGTTTCACACTAAGAGGACTTTAATATCAGGGCCCAGGAAGATTGGCACCTTCCTGAGATCTAAAGTGGCTCAAAGGGGATTTTATCCTTGACACTTGAACTTCATCAGTTAACCTGCCTCTCTGTAGTTCTGCAACACAGGCATCACATGATGTATTTATTTTCCTGCTTCTTGCACCCTCAGCCTCAGAGAAAATCAACCAAATAAACAAAGAGTTGAGCTGCATTTTAACAGCATTTCCAGAGAGATCTTTCAAAGTTTATTTGATACTGGCTATGTTTATAACGTCACCTGTTATTTTCTTTCTCCTGTTTAGTTCCCTGGTAGCCTTAGATTTAAATATCAGGTGAGGGACTTAACATCCACCTCTGCTCCTCATGCATAAATCACAGCCACAAAACCCTTCATCCTTCTGTTCACCCCACCTTATAATGAGCTAAGAATGGGAAGGAGATGCAGCCTTCAGAGCCTGTCATGCTGTGACACATGAGCAGAAAATGCCATCTAGAGAGAGGCTGGGTTCTGTTCACAATAAACATTAATACAAAAGGAATACAAAGCCACAGTCTTGTGTCCTGTCTGCAAAGCATGCCTTTGTTTAATGTGTCTTTTTCATTAGGCTTCCTGAGCAAAGCAAGCTAGGACATTTAAAGTCAAGTTCATGCAAATGTTTAAGCAATGTGGCTAGGGGTCCGTGTCATGGAGACATTGACCAAGCTGTTGTCACCAAGTATTCCCCAGGCACTGCGGCAGCAGATGTGACTTTGGGCTTCTGCAAAGAGCAATTCAGATGCGTCTTCCTCCATTGGAAAGCACAGAATCCAAGACTAAGTCATAGTGCTGGCATTAAAAGAAAATAAAATAAAATTCAAACACATTATACATAAACAGAAGACTGAACTTAGGTAGAAAATGTCCAAGCCCCAAACATGCTTTGAGTAGAGTCAATAAAAATCTCACAGAGCATGCAAAATAATGGGTCTTCATAAAAATTAAGTAGAAGGAGCTTGAGCAGAATTTGTAGACATAAAAATCAGGTTAGGTTTTCATGCTTGTCTTGATCAGTTCAAGGAAAATTCATGGAGGGGTTATTATTTCTGGATTTGCTTTTAAGCATTTTAATAACATGAAAGGCATGTTTAGGATAAGTTGCCATTTCAGATAAGCATTAAGTAAATTCACTGATGTAACTAACCTGGGGTGGATTGTAGTTTTAGAGACATGGGGGGTTAGGTAAAGATCCGACTGTGGATTGTAAACATGCTGGACTCAATAGAGACCCAGAAAACTCAGCAAAAGTATTGGCAAAAGAAAAGAACCTGCTTACATGGTTCTCACGAGAGGTTTCTGAGAGACAGCTCACCTTGCACATGCCATTCAAAACCACCAAGTTTGACCAGAACCTATCCTAAATGGAAGGGACAGACAGGAAGCAAGTCCCTGGTGGATTGAGTTATTCCTGTTTTAACAGTCAAACCAGACTGGCTTAGAAGGCCAACAACAAGTTCTTGGACCCTGAAAATTTAGGGAGGAAGTGTTTGGACAACACTGAAATCATTCACAATCAGTCATCCTCTGGAACAACATGGTAAAGTAAGAAAACCTGGAGTCTGGGGACCAGAGTGTAACCTCAGCTCTGTGGACTACCAGCTATGTATCCTTGGGAAAACCAATCAATGCCCATGAATCTCAGTATCAAAACCCAGAAAATGTGGGGCTTATTCTATATTAGCATTTCCTAAACTGTGTTCTGTGTGTAGTAGTAGATTGTACTCCAAGATGGCCATGGCACTTCCTTGTACCACTCTCAGTGACCTTCTGCAATGCAACTTCGGCCTCCCACCAAGAGGAACAGCAGTGTTCACATCCCTGGAGTCCAGCCTGGCCTTGTGACTTGTTTTACCTGATATTATGCAGAAGTGCTGTTGTCCAACTTTCAGGAGTTAGGCCTTTGGCTGCCTAATGGTTCTGTTGTTGGCCCTACTGAAACACTGTCTTGAGCACACCTTTGTAAGAAAGCCATCTGGAAACAAGAAATCACATGAGAGAAGTGGCACCCCAGACAGCACCAACTGGGACAGCATCTTCCACCTTCCAGCACAGGAAATACATGGCATTTTGAAATACACATCTTCACTGTTATCTGAAACCACTAAATGTGGAGGCAATCTCTTGTGCAGCATTAGAGAACTCAAAGGGTGCTCAGTAAAGTATGTGGTTTTATTGTCAAGTAACGTTGGGTGAAGACTGGCTAAACAATTGTAAATAAGTTTCTCAAACTATGGAGTTGCATAGCTTTTAACATTCTAATGTGGACTTAAAACTCCAAAGCATGGGAAGGATTTGAATGTCATGTCTGCCAGACTTCTTTTGATCATAGGATATTATTTTCCCTAGAAAACTGCTTAATCATTGTGGATCACAATGTGGGAAATACTGATGTGTTAGAATTCCAAAGGCCCTGCCAGTCCTAGCATTCCAGAAGTCTGCAAATGGAGCAGAGTATTTTGGTCACTATTTCTTCTTGATTATCTTGATGACAAGCAAATTCACTCCATGGTTGGTTGCTATGAATTTCATTATTCACTTCCACTGAAAGTGTTTTTTACTCAAGTATAAGTAGTTTGCAGCACTTATTGTGTAGTATCAAATCTATACTTCCATTTCACACACATGTTCTTCTTTAATCTGCAGAGTTATGTGGACTGAATACTATTATGACCACTGCAATATTATGTCCACAGGCAAGTGGATGAGGGAGAAGCTTGGCATCTGGACCCTGGATATACATCTGTGCAGATTCAGAAACACAGCTATGGAGAACCGACTCCAGAACCCATGTCCTCAATAACCACACTGCACTTGACACTGTTCTTCTCTTGCTCACAGAAAGTGATGAGGTAATAAATTTAGTGTTGGCCAAGCCTGAATCCCAAGTCTTCCCTCCTAGGAAATGTTTCAGGTAGTCAAATGGGGAAAGGATCATGTTGGGTTAACCTTCAAGAGAGAATTAAAAATGTACCAACATGTACCAAAGACCTATTTTAAACCAATTACTGTGATAAGATTTTTAAACTATTATTTATTAGAAAGGCACAGTGAAGGGGGGGGGAGAGGGAGCGGCAGGGAGGGAGGGGGGGAGGGAGGGAGAAAGGGAAGGAGAGGGAGAGAGAGAATTGAGATTTTCTATTCATTGGTTCACTCTCCAAAGGTCCACAAGAGCTGAGCCTGGGACAGGCCAAATCAAGGAGCTAGGAATCCATCCAGGTCTCCCACATAGCTGGGAAGGACTCAAGTCCTTGAATCATCAATTATCTCCCAGGCACATTAGCAGGAAGCTGGATTGGGAGCTGAAACAGGATTCCATCCCAGGCACTCTAATGTAGGAGGCAGCTTAACCCATTGAGCCAAACACTGGCTCTGTGGCAGGATCTGAACACACCCCATGGCATCTGATGTTCAAGCAGCCATCTGGGGTAGGTAAGATCATCTCTATCTTATGACTGTTGCTCAGAGGAAAATGGCTCCCAGGTAGAAGGAAAAGTCTGATACCAACATCAGTATATAATGTTTCCACTCTGTTTCTGCCTAATTCAGACCATGCTGTTGTTATTCAAATAATGGGTTTACAAAGATGGAATCCCCCCCAAATAGCTGCATGCATAATATTTCACCAGCATGGAGGAACTCTGAAGTGTGTGGAAGATAAAAGGGCACACTCAGGAAGATGGAATTAGTGAAATAGGCTGGTCCAGCAGGAAAGGAAACCTGGTGGAACAACTGAACAGTGCATTAACAAAACCAGACTCAGAAAAGCCTCCTTTTGTGGGGAATAGAGGGGTCTTGTTCCCTGAATCTAGTAAGCAAGGTAGAACCTGTGACAGTCTCCCACCTTGTCTTGGTAAGACCAGGGAGAGTCAAGAGACTTTGAAGAAAAAAAAACCCTTTGCAATAAGCCTCTAAAGGCTGCCTCTAACTTGATTTTGGACAGAGGACAGCTCCCCTGCTCAGTCCATATGTAGGACCCACAGGGGCACCTGGAAGTGTAACCTCTGCAAGAAGCCCACAGGGGCCGGCATAGCAGGTAAAGCTGCCACCTGCAGAGCTGACATCCCATATAGGTGCCGTTTCGAGTCCCAGCTGCTCCACTTCTGATCAAGCTCTCTGCTATGGCCTGGGAAAGCAGTAGAAGATGGTCCCAGTGCTTGGGCCATCTTAATTAGTAATGAGCTGAATAAATCCAGATATAATCACACAGCAGAATACTACATAGATGGCTAAAGTATTGAGGTTAGTTAGCATCAGGGCAAAGCACACAAATGAGGCTCAATATAAACAGAGTGGAGGGACCAGCAGAATTCCTTGTTGATCAGCAAGCTCTGGAAATTCTGTGTTCCTGGGGCCAGCGCTGTGGCATAGCGAGTGTTGCAGTGCCAGCATCCCATATGGGTGCCAGTTTGAGTCCCAGCTGCTCCACTTCTGATCCAGCTCTCTGCTATGGCCTGGGAAAGCAGTAGAAGACACCCAAGCCCTTGGGCCCCTGCACCCATGAGGGAGACCCAGAGGAGGCTCCTGGCTCCTGGCTTTGGATTGGCCCAACTCTGGCCTTTGTGGCCATTTGGTGAGTGAACCAGTGGAGGGAAGACCTCTCTGTCTCTTTGCCTCTCTCGCCTCTGCTTCTCTGTAACTCTTTCCAATAAATAAATAAATCTAAAAAAAAAAAAAAAAAAAAAGGAAGTGCACACTGTATCCTGGGTTTTCCCCTGTGGTACATAGGTCCTTCCTATGCTCTTTTCTCCAAGTGGGGAGTATATGGGGACTGGGATCAAGTAGGTGGACATCTAGATTCTGCCATTATCTGTCATCAAGTAATTATAATCCTACCTTCCACGTGAGGAAATAGAAGGTTTTGAGAGATCACTAGCATGAAACCAGTGAGAGATCACACCAAGTGTGTGTGACCTTGCCCCATGCCCTGGCTGCAGCCTGGGAAGCTGCTTGAGAAGAACAGACTGTAGGTTATCATTGCAGCCTTGAGACACCTGCTGGGTCCTTCTGTGTGGGGACGCCACCATGAGTGCCCTGGGCAGGATGCAGAATAAATCAGTGTTGCCCCTGCCCTCCAGGAGCTCTTGATCTAAGGAGAGTGACTCCTAGAGGGAAAAGAAAGCCAACTCTCAGAAGGGGCATAATAAAAGCTTATTGCAGAGATTTATGAGCAGGAAAGACAATAAGTTCCTGGTCTCCTGGGAGGCATAGAAGAAAGTTTTATTGTGAAGGCTGCTCTCTGAAGGAAGAGCAATTTCAAGAAATAGCAATGTGTAGGCCTTCTAAGCCCAGGACAATATGAGCAATGGCAGCGGGGGGCCTGGAGACACACACAGGGTAAGTGAGTATTTGGGACTCACTGCCACAGAGGAGAGGAGCGTGGAGAGAAGCTGCGACTAGAGAGAGGAATTTCATCTGAAGACAATGTAAGCCAATGACAGGGGGGCCAGTTCTCCAAGGAAGTCTTGGAGCACATTCTCTGCTTGGCACAGGGACCTCCCTGCACCACCGGGAGGCCCAGCATGTCCCTGGACTAGGGTCTGTGGGTCCTCCCTGGTGTCCACACACAGGAGGGGCAGAGCAGGCAGAGAACTAGAGCCTTGGGGTTCAGGCAGGCACACAGCCCCTGTTTCTCATTGTATCTCGGTGTCTTTCCCTGATTTTTAGGTCTATGTGGCTACACCTGAGTGACAGACTCCAAGTCCTAGAGTGAGCCTTTCACAGCCCATGGTCCACCACAGCTGGGAAGTGGTGCTGCAGCTCAGCCTATTGATTAGAGATGTAGAGCAGAC